AGAGCTCGAAAAGAGCTTTGATTTGGTGTATTATAGGCACAGTAATGATTTCTGGATCAAAAGTTAAGGCCGTCCTCCGTCAGAGTTCTATGATTTTTTCCCCCGAAACTAATGAAAAAAAGTGAATATTGGCCCAAAAGATTGGGTTGGCGGGCTACGCCCTGCCATGTTTATAGAGCTCGAAAAGAGCTTCGATTTGGTATATTATAGTCCCAGCAACGATTTCTGGATCAAAAGTTATGACCGTCTTCAGTCACAGTTCTCTAATTTTTTTTCTCCCGAAAGTGATGAAAACAAGTTATTTTTGGCCCCAAAAATTGTGTTGCCGGGCTACGCCTTGCCACCTTTGTAGAGCTCGAAAAGAGCTTCGATTTGTAATATTATAGGCCCAGCAATGATTTCTAGATCAAAAGTTATGGTTGTCTTCATTTACAGTTTTCTGATTTTTTTCCCCGAAACTGATGTAAACAAGTAAATTTTGGCCCAAAAAATTGGGTTAGCGAGCTACGCCCTGCCACGTTTGTAGAGCTCGAGATGAGCTTCGATTTGGTATATTATAGGCCCAGCAACGATTTTTGGATCAAAAGTTATGACCGTCTTCAATCACAGTTCTCTGATTTTTTTTTTCCGAAACTGATGAAAGCAAGTGAATTTTAGCCCCAAAAATTGGGTTGGTGGGCTATGCCCTGCCACGTTTCTAGAGCTCGAGATGAGCTTCGATTTGGTATATTATAGGCCCAGCAACGATTTTTGGATCAAAAGTTATGACCGTCTTCAATCACAGTTCTCTGATTTTTTTTCTCCGAAACTGATGAAAGCAAGTGAATTTTGGCCCCAAAAATTGGGTTGGTGGGCTATGCCCTGCCACGTTTGTAGAGCTCGAGATGAGCTTCGATTTGGTATATTATAGGCCCAGCAACGATTTTTGGATCAAAAGTTATGGCCGTCTTCAATCACAGTTCTCTGATTTTTTTTCCTCCGAAATTGATGAAAACAAGTGTATTTTGGCCCAAAAAATTAGGTTCGTGGGCTACGCCCTGCCACGTTTGTAGAGCTCGAAAAAAGTTTTGATTTGGTATATTATAGGCCCAGCAATAATTTCTGGATCAAAAATTATGGCCGTCTTCAGTCACAGTTCTCCGATTTTTTTTCCTTTGAAACTGATGAGAACAAGTGAATTTTAGCCCCAAAAATTGGGTTGGCGGGCTACGCGCTGTCACGTTTGTAGAGCTCGAAAAGAGCTTCGATTTGGTATATTATAGGCCAAGCAACGATTTTCTGGATCAAAAGTTATGGCTGTCTTCAGTAACAGTTCTCTAATTTTTTTTCCTCTGAAACTGATGAAAACAAGTGAATTTTGGCCCAAAAAATTAGGTTGGCGGGATACGCCCTGCCTTGTTTGTAGAGCTCGAAAACAACTTCGATTTGGTATATTATAGGCAACGATTTCTGGATCAAAAATTACGGCCGTCTTCAGTCACAGTTCTATGATTTTTTTCCCTCCGAAACTGATGAAAACAAGTTAATTTTGGCCTAAAAAATTGGGTTATTGGGCAACGCCCTACAACATTTGTAGAGCTCGAAAAGAGCTTCAATTTTGTATATTATAAGCCCAGCAATGATTTCTGGATCAAAAGTTATGGCCGTCTTCACTCACAGTTCTCCTATTTTTTTTCCTCTGAAACTAACGAAAACAAGTGAATTTTAGCCCAAAAAATTGGGTTGGCGGGCTTTGCCCTGCCACGTTTGTAGAGCTCAAAAGAGCTTCGATTTGGTATATTATAGTCCCGGCAACGATTTCTGGATCAAAAGTTATGACTATCTTTAGTCACAATTCTCCGATTTTTTTCCTCCGAAATTGATGAAAACAAGTGAATTTTGGCCTAAAAAATTGGGTTGGCGTGCTACGCCCGGCCACGTTTGTAGAGCTCAAAAAGAGCGTTGATTTGGTATATTATTGGCCCATCAACGATTTTTAGATCAAAAGTTATGACCGTCTTCAGTCACAGTTCTCCGATTTTTTGATTTTTTTTCCTCCGAAATTGATGAAAACAAGTGAATTTTGGCCTAAAAAATTGGGTTGGCGTGCTACGCCCGGCCACGTTTGTAGAGCTCAAAAAGAGCGTTGATTTGGTATATTATTGGCCCATCAACGATTTTTAGATCAAAAGTTATGACCGTCTTCAGTCACAGTTCTCCGATTTTTTGATTTTTTTTCCTCCGAAATTGATGAAAACAAGTGAATTTTGGCCCAAAAAGTTTGTCCCTCCTGTGGACAGCACTCCACAAATCGAATACATGCTGAGCAAAAATGGCACTCCACTGCAAGCTGAGATTTATGCGAACATGTCAATTAAATGTGTGGACCATTGTATCTAGGTGTCAAACAAATTTAAGACCAGGAACGTTTTAGGCCAACTGTTGATTTTTTCAAGCACAAACTGTTGATAAAAGATTTAAGTGAAACCTATAGGCAAATCATAAACTTCTAACAATTAACTAAGTGCACAGATCAAGGGTAATGAACTTAAAAGTAACAATTAGTAGTTCCTGATATGAATTGCACGGAATAAAGAAAACTGCTCTCACAAGGGATACAAGTTTTCTGCAAAAGCTACTAATCACCTATCTCAGCTTTTTAAAACAAAAATGTAAGGAAACTTGGCACAAAGCTTCCTTTGGAATGTAGACGCATCATTTACACCTTTTGGGGATTCGCTACAACAAAATAAACAATATTGCATACTGAAAAAAGAAATCAAGATGACTCATCTTAAGACATTTCGATAAAACTAAATAATGACGTTGTCATTCATGCTTTGGGGAGAGAAAAGGAGGAGGCATTAAACAAACGTGACTAGATTCCAAGGTAATAGGACGCTTCAAACTAGAAGAGAAAATGTGAAGGTCAAAATTTTACCATTTTCTATCACGAAATATTTGTCTTTAATCAGTTCTTACTATCTCCTTCCTACCTTGGCTCTAACAAAAAACATAAACAAGCACCAAAAACTATAGCACCACACACACACAGATAGACAATGAATACTATAGCACAACAGACACATGTTTTGTCACTAAGCAAATTCATTTACTATTTCAAAATGAACAACCGGCAGAAACCAAAATTAACTCGACTTATTTTCTAGTTCTAGACTTTACATTACTGTAAATCTGGGAAGCAATAAACTAGAGAATGGCCGAAATGAGGAACGCATCTTCAAAGGAGGGGGAACATAGAACAACCCACTTTTCTCTCCATTTTAGAAGAGCTTCTAAAAGTGGTACCGGGGTATGTCTAGCAGCCATAGCTAGGGAATCCAGTACTTGCTCATTGGCAGGATCTGATGGTCGAAGATATTGTCCATCCTGTAAATTGCCAATGTAACGACAAGCAATAATTAGGACTCAACGACATCAAGTTATCCAAATTAGCAAACCAAACATTCACCAAAAGAAGAGGAAAAAAATCCCGATACAGAAAACACACACAAACGTGTCAACCATACATGAAAGAGTAATACCATGCATTTTGATTACAACAATGTCGTTTCAAAGGCAAACCAATAAAGAAAATAAACAATTGAAATTCCAGAAACAAGGGGCTTACCCTTGTAATTAGTACTCGAAAACCATAATCTACACTTCTTTCATTCATCAACATATACAATTCAACATCAATCTTAAGCAAGAACGAACTAAGAATTTCAAAGTATCCGCCAATGGCAGAAAAAAGATGACTAATTTTCCATTTCGCGGGGGAGCTAAAAAGCACCATAGAAACGAGAAATCAAACAACGAGAAGAGAGAGAGAGAGAGAGAGATTTGAGAGGAAAATTTGAGAATCAAGACCTATGCTTGAGCGGTCTCGATACGGCGGCGAGCGAGGGGAAGAAACCGTTGTAGCAGAGCGTCGACGATTAGTTTGGCGGCACTTTCCGCCGTCATATTCTTCTCTGTTCTATCTCTCTGAGATTCCCCGCCTCGTGTTCAGGTTCGAGCCCTTGGCTCCGGCATTCACTTGGAAACCAATTCCGAAACCCTAGAAACGAACGGAAGAAAATGAATCACCGCCTAAAGGTAGGAGGGAGGAAGCTGAGAATTTCAGAGTTCAGAGTCAGTTTCAGAGAGGAGAGATGGCGAAGGAGTGAGGTTGAGATTTTTTTGGATTCGGCAGGATTATTTTGAGAATAACGAAAATTTCATTAATGAAGCTTGGTAGATTGCCGCACAATTTACAGTCAAGAGTAGTAAGCGAGCTATTTCAACTTAAAATTTTTTTAGGATTCTCTGATAATCAGTTTTTAAAGTGTTTATCAAACACAATAAAGAGTTTTAGCTGAAAAAAAAAATTAATTTTGACCCCCTAAAATCTCTACTAAACTAAGCCTAAATCTAATAAATCTGTCTCAGAGTACCAATTTTTTTTCTAACGTTAAGGTATCTATTTAATATTATTAAAAAACACACAATACTAAAAATGTATTTCAATATAACACAAAATATCAAACTAAAATTTTCCCTTTAAAGAAATTGCAATGCATACTAATTCTAATATGTTAACTCTAATTTAACTTTTTCTAACAACTTTTATGAGATGGGTGAGTCGTCAATTTTTATTGATATGTATTAAAAGATTAACATATCAATTACTAATAAAAAATTATGTATCTATTAATTAAAACATAACAACTTGCTACCATTGTTTATTAATATGTATTAAAAGATTAACATGTCCATTATTAATAAAAAATTATATATCTATTGATATTCCTAAGCATTATTTCACTTTTAAAGGAAAAGATAGGTGTCATTTTAGGTGACACTTATAATAGTTATAATTTTGAAATTTTTGATCAAGCATTTAACTAGTTTTTTCTTTAAGAATAAAATAAAATTTCACAATCTCACAGAAATAAAGCGACAGAAAAAAAAAAAAAAAAAAAAAAAAAAAAAAAAAAAAAAAAAAAAGAAAAAAAAAAAAAAAAAAAAAAAAAAAAGAAGAAGAAGAAGAAGATGAGAAACCGAAAAAGAAGTTGTGTCGTTTGTGTCCTGCGGGAGTCCAAATGAGAACAAAACCCAGCGCCAATTCATACAACCTTCAATTTTCGGTTATTTTCCCATTCCTACATTTTCCTTAAATAAATAAAAATAGAAACCTCCATGTTTAATGCATAAAACTATGCCAAACGAACAAAGCCTTAACCAAGAAAGAAATAAATACAGAAAAAAAGTAAAAAACATTTTCCTGTCAATTGCCGCGAATCGGTTGTGTTTCCCCTACTGATTCTCCAACTCCTTCAGGCCTACTTGTAAGTATTCCAAGTTCTGCACACATTCTCGTGATTGTGACTCTTTATTGTCGTTTGGTTTTCTTCATGAAATGATGCAATACTGATGTATATGCGTACATATATATGTGTGTGTATTTTATTTTGATTTGCTTGATCAGTATTGGCATTTATGGTTGTGATCCGAGCGGTGACGAGACTCTTTTGCCTGTTTAGAAATAATTATATTTCTGGGTTATTCGGAAAGTGAGCTGAAATTTAGCTCTTTTTTTTTTTTTTTTTTTTTGGTGGGGGGGTTGAATAAGAGGGCTAAATGAGGGTACCAAATACCCATCAAGAAAGGATTACATATATGCGGTATATCTCAAAACTCAAAAGGGTATGCATTTCTTTGCGCTTAAGATAATGGGCTCTAGCGTTTTGAAGCTTTTTTTTTTTTTAATTACTATTATTTATTATTTAGTATTTATTATTTTTTTAGTTTGGGACATGTTTGGAGTCGAATTTTTATCTGATTACGTTGCAGCCGAAGCTTCATATGCGTTATCATTTGACTTTGAATGTGTGTGTGGGTGTCGATTTCATTTTTTTTCCTTTTTTCATAATGATGATTTCCCCCTTCTTTTATTTTTTATTTTTTGTTATTTCGTTGCATAATTTTCAATTCTTCTTGGTTCGCTTTGAATGATTGCAATATAGGGATCTCGATATTATGATAATGTGGTGCAGGGTGGAAAGATTTAAGAGAAAACAATTAGAAATTTTACTTTTATGATTGGAAATGTCATGACATTATTGTAATAAACAAGTATGGCTCTTTAATGTATAGAGATATGATCGGATTAAAGGATTAAATTATGGGGTGCATAAAGAGAACTTGAAGGGATGAATGGAGAAATCTTGTACCATTGATGATGCTCGGGTATCATTAAGTGTGTGATTATTCTGTTGGTTTATTCTTTTGAAGGGTTGAACATGGAGTTTGGATTTGGGTTTAAGTTTAATCATTTCCTTTACAAGGAAAACATTAGTACCAGAGATCAAGTAATAATCTTTTCGTTTGTACCTTGCTCTCGTACTATTTGTGGACATCTGACGTTTCTGTAAAATCTTGTTAAATATTAATTGATTAATGCATCAAGTTTCTTTTTTTTTTTTTTTTTGTACAAAAGTTTCATCCTTGGTGCTATGTTGTAGAATGTACTTGGTGAAAAAAGAGAAAGATGTAACTCGTCTTACGGGAGCGAGATGTATGGATTGTTTGGTTGTAAGTTTTGGAAAAGGATCTAAAAATTTGAAACATGTTAGGTATGCCAGTAAATTATTAATTGGTTCAACTAATGTGATTTATGAGGTTGAAATTATTTGAAGCCTAGTTGTTTGGCCTGGATTTTGGACGATTAAGCTACTTTGAGCTTGGATTTGGGCCGTACATGCTAGTTAATTGCTTGAATATATGCTTTTTCCGAGCCCTGCCCGACCCGAACTTCGTATGGTAGAATTGTTAATTACTCCTCTTTAACGTGCTATTTCAATTGTAAACCCTTTAAAAGATGCAGCTAGGGTTTTCTAAGAAGGCTTTCATTTATTTGTGGCTCTCATTGTCGGCGCCCTATCTTCCTCTTGTGGTGCTGATAGCGACGAGGTCGAAAGAGACGTTCATACAGTAAACTAGAGGCAGGTATAATTAGCCTTTTAACTAAATCTTGTGGGCCAAGAGTTGTATTGTTTGTTAGTAATAGCAACTCAAATGAAAAGTCCTTTGCTTGCAATATTGGTTGAGATCTGGTTATCTTATTAAAGTCTTGATATTAGTAATTATATGGACAATGGAGATCTTTGTATGAATGGTTGTATGGACAGATCTTGATGATATTTGTTAGGTTTTAAGGAAATCCTAGAAAAATTAGAGGATCTTTGCTTTTGTTATTTTTATATGTGCTTTTTTTTTCTTGTCTTTTGTTTTGCTCTTTTTCTTTTCGCACTTTCTTTTACTATTTTTCTTTATGATTTGAAGTTTAAATTCTTTGTTTTTCCATTGCCAGTTTTGATTTTTCACTCCTCGGCAAATTGGAGTTTTCTAAATAACTTTTTACGTCTTTTTGGTGTGCGCCGAGCCTGTAATTATGTCCCAGTGATAGTTGTTCGTTGTGAATAACATATTAAGGCAATGTCACTTGTTTTACCATTATCATTTGTATCTTGGGGATCACTAGCGTCTTCTGAAAAGGGAAGCAGTGATCTCATTTCACTTGCAAGGCTATTTCTCCAGTCTTTTGCTATCATGCTTTCCTATGGCCTGATCTTCTTTATTGTTGGTGACCATATTGTTTAATTAATTGCTACTTCTTATTTTTCCCCCTTTTCTTGGATAAATAAGAATGACTACTTTTTTCTGTTATAAAGTTACAAAGTTCACAACCTTTCAACCTCTGCCTTTCCGGTGTCCTCTTTCATTGTATAACTGTAGAAACCTCTCAACTTTTATATCCTTCTATCTTCCTATCTGTCATGAACATGACATGTTTAAACTGTGCAGCTTGTGTGCTTATTTTTTATTTATTTATTTTTTTAATTGTTGTGCCTTAGTTTCTGTTGAGCATGACTAGTATAATGTTGTTTAGGGTAACTTTTCATTTAATATGGTAGGCATCAATCATTTGTCAGTGTAAATTTAGTGATCACCTTAACCCATTTCTATTTTATTTCCCACCGTGACATAGGATCTTTATTTTGCTTGCCTCTGGATTTTAAGTTATGATTTCGACATGGTCAGTTTAGTGCATCTTCTTGTCATCAACTTATCCCGTCTTCTTGTCTTTATTTTAGCCCAAACAAAAGGCCTTCTAGTTTTTGAAGATAGATGACATTTCAGCCAAATGAAGCCTTGGTGGTGAACTTATATAAATTGGTTAATTGAATGGGTCCTTTCTTTGAAGGTTAATCACCTGTTCAATTTGGGCGAAACCTGGTATATAATTTAGGGTTTTTGGCACAATTGCCTTCCGAACTTGTCGTGGTTTAGCAAATTGCCCCGTAAACTTTTAATTTTGACAAGTTGCGCCCCGAACTTGTAAATTTGTTCAATGTGCTCCATTTTGAATTGGAATGTTGAAATTTTTGGCTGAATGTGCTTTTTTGACACTAATTTAACACAATCATCATCAAAATGGGGCAGATTGCAACAAATTTACAAGTTTGGGGGGCAACTTGCCAAAATTAAAAGTTTAGGGGAAAATTTGTTAAACCACAAGTTTAGGGGGCAAATGTGCTAAAATAGGACGGCTATTAATAACATTGACCAGTTGTCATTGTAGGAATATCATTGTTGTTTCCATTCCCCTTTTTTTTTTTTAAAAAAAAAAGAAAGAAAAACACGTGGAAAACTTAGTGAGTTTATTCTTTGCAGGAAAAGTTTCAAAAACTATTGTGCAACTTTCAGCTGTTTCATTTATTCGTGAAAGATGAGCCAACAGATTCAAGGGTCGCATGCTTTATCACCTGTAGAGGTCCCTGCTAAGCGGAAACGAGGACGTCCACGCAAGGATCCGAAAAAGGCAGAGAACACACCTGCAGTACCTGCGCCAGACAGTTCGAAGAAAAGCAAAGTATGTGGGGCTTCAGGTGATGAAGCTGATGGAATGGTGGGTCAGGTGGTTACAGGTGTCATTGATGGCACCTTTGGTGCTGGTTACCTTGTTAATGTGAAGGTAGGCAACACTGACACTCAGCTGCGAGGTCTTGTATTTCTTCCTGGGCGGTTCACTCCAATTACTGCAGAAAACGATGTGGCTCCTAATGCCAGAATGTACACAAGAAGAGCGGTCCCGTTCCCAGATCTTAAACGGCAATCTCAGCCTTCTGGTTCTGTTCACTCAGAGCAAAATGCTAAGCAACCTGCTGAGCTAAAAGACCAAGTGCCTAAAATTGCACTTGCATTCTACTCTCAACTTTCTAATCTTCAATCTGGCATTTCAGAAGCACCTGAGCACCGGTCCACAGCTGTTAAGATACCTGTAGCAGATAATGTGCCAAAGATTGATACAGGTCTTTCACTGAGTGGAAAAGTCCTTCCACCACAAATGGAGGAGCCAAAGGTTGATGAACCAGTTGAGGTGCTACAAGAAACTGAAGCCCCCAAGCCGATGAAAGGACCTAATGAAGTGGAGACAAATGAAGAATCAAAAACAGAACCAGAATCTGAACCACTTGTTGACACCTTGCTCGGTGCTGAAGCCTCCAAGCTGATGAAAGGACCTAATGAAGTTGAGGCAACTGAAGAGTCAGAATTTGAACCCGCTGCTGACGTGTTCCCTGGTATTGAGACTTCCACACTGGTGAAAGGACCTACTGATGTTGAGGCAAACAAAGAATCGAAGGAAGAACCGGCACCTACGCCAGTTGTTGACATATCTCAGGGCGTTGAAGCTGTTGTTAAGGAACCTGAGATTCATGATGCAGCTCTGAGCTCTGACCCTAGGAATGATTCGACTTGTGATGAGGTGAAGACTCTGAATCTAGAACTCAACCAAGCACCTGTGGCTTCTGAACCCGCATTCGAGAATTCTGAGTTGGTCAACAATTCAATGAAGAAACATGGCAATGAAGAAGGTGTTCTGGCAGAACCGCAATTGGGGCATGCTGTTGAGGTTCCCAATGGAGAAGGTAAGCCACCTGTGGGTGATTCTACTAAAATTACTGGTGCAGTCTCTTTCTCGGCAGTGAAACACAGAGAAGAGGCCATTCGTTCTGAATCCAAGCCTACATCTGAAGGACGTGTTCCACCTGAGCTAACCGAATTGGAGATCCGCAGTCCTTCCGGTGAAATTATCAACATGGAATGTGATGAAACGGATGCTTTGCAGTCTTAGATATATTCATTGGTGTCAAACAATCTCAGCAGGATTTGCAACTTGTTTTTGGAGGAAGGACAGGAGAAACTAATAAAAACAGACAACGTAGTCTCTTAGTTGCCATATTATGAAAATCATTCTATAGGCATAGACAAAAAAATTTTGTAGACCCTTTTTTTTTCCCCCCCTATTGACAGCTTATGATGGTTTTAATTTTTGATGTGGCAACTATTCTCCTCTTTTCTGTAGGAGCCGTTTTATCTTAGAGTAATTATAGTTTCCGTTAATTTCTTCATTTGTTTCTTTATATGTTGCCCAAATCTTGTTTTGCGTCTTCTCAGGTAACAAACTTACAACTCCAGGATGGACAGGACTGAATAGGGAAATTGATCATGATTGATCCATCGCCTGTCAATTTGGATTTTTTGTGGTTGCATTGTTATTAATGCGCTATTTTTACATGGCATATATTTGATTAGAATAATATAGCTGAACTTATTATCTTCTTTCTATAATGTGTATTTTGTTGGCAAAAAAGTTGAGATATAGTTTATCTTTTTGCAACTATTTACTTTTGCCTGCTTCGCCTTTTCAGGGAACAGAGAGAGAGAGGAGAGAGAGAGAGAGAGGAAAACATGATTTTATGCGTGTTTCAGTGAATCAACTAATGGCATCTCAATCATTTTAGGCATACATCATAACCTCTGGCTAAATCTTATTATGTAAATATTTTGTAAAAATACCCATATTTCTATTGTATTAAAGTTAGAATAATATGTACATAAAATAGAATGCTGAAATCATTTTTTTAGAATGCAAGAATTATCTTATAATCAAATAATAATTAATTTTAATGAAATTTGAAAAAACTAATTTAAAACTTCATTACTTGTAGAGTATGCTTTTGTAAAAACGACACAACGTGCCATTGCATCTTATGAAGGTTGAAGTTGAAAAATAGAAAATAGGATAATTGACACAAATGGTCCCCCAAATTTATCAAAAAGTGATAGTTTGATCCTTAAACTTTTTTTTATGAAACGAGCTCCAAACTATTTAAAAATGTGTAATGTTGTCCTTTCCGTTAAATGCCGTCCAAAAATATGGATCAAATCATAACCTATTAAAGTCGATTGTGACTAAAAAATCACCTCATAATAAGAGACTGTAATATCATCCTTTTAGGTTATTATGCCGTTATTTTTTGGACGGCATCTGACGAAAAAGACTACATTACACCTTTTTAAATAGTTTAAGGTTCGTTTCGTCAAAATAAAAATTTAAAGACCAAACTATCTATCTTTTAAAGGGTTTGGAAATCATTCATGTAATTTATCCTAGAAAATATTACAACTTAGGAACATTTCCTTTTTGGTCCATGGCATAATGGACACATATGTAACTCGAGAAAGAGAGAAATAAGCCAAGACTTGAGATAAATTATAATTAATAAGCCAATAGTTTACATAAGTTAATAAAAAATGCCAAATTACTGTTTTCGTCCATAACTTATCTAGTTATGAACCATAACTTGACAAGTTATTGTCCATAATTATCCATAACTTGTCTGGCTATGAACCATAACTTAACAAGTTTGTCCATAATTTATCTAGTTATGAACCATAACTTAATAAGTTATAGCCTATTAATTTATATAATTAAAAATTAACTTATATACTTTCTTCAGCTTTTCATATTGGTTTATTTTTTACTATTTGTTATATCTCTTACAAGCCCAATTAAGGCCCAGTACATGTGCTTCTTACCCAACCCAGTCACCTTATAAGCCCAGGCCCGCCAATATGAAACCCGTATCCGTATTCCGTACCCTCTCTTCCTCACGCTTCCATCAGTCTCCGGTCGATTCCGACGACAAGATATATTCATGAGATCCTTGCATTTGTCACTTTGTGTACAAGGAAAGCAATAAACTGTGAGTACGTTTAGAATTAATTTTAAATTATTTTTAAAAATATTTTTGTATGTTATCAAGGTAAAAACAGTTTGTAAAATGGATTTGTTTAACAAATATTTTGAGAATGAAAATAAAAATAAAAATAAAAAATAGTATGAATGATTTTTGTTAATTAAAAAATAATTAAAAATTATTTTCTCTTTTATATTTTTATTTTTTAATATTTATCAATAATTTTATAATATATTAATTAATAATTATAACTAAACACAATTTTATTTTTTT